TTTTATTTTATTTATAATTTTCAATCATTTTATTGAGAAATTTATTAATTTATCACGAGAAGAATATAATCAGTCATCAGTGGACATCATTATTTGCCCCGGAATGCATCAAGAGTTTGCTAGTAGAATGAAATATTACATCTAGTCATTTGTGTCACAGTTGGTCAGATTTGCATTTTAATTTATTAAAATGCTTAAGTGTGTGAGCAACTTCACACAATACTGCGTGTGTCAAGACAGCATGATTTATTGTAACTCCCACTCTCTTCCATGAATGAATAAGTGGAAGCTCTGTTCTTGCATAAGCTGGATATTTATCATATTTGTCATCCATAAAGTTTTAATATTGCGCGTAGTGTTGACCCCTGAAGCATTACCACTGTTCAAACACCACTTCTTTAACCTTGTTTACCTTCGTTTGTTCAAAACTAAAATGCACATCACATTGTATGACATGATGTCTGTCTTTTGTTCTTTAAAATGAATCTCAGCTGCAACACTCTATGTATTTAGGGGTTTGAGGTTTAGCTGTTTTAAACCCAAAATGACAGACAGATGGAGTGGGTGTTTTTTTTCTTTCCTCTCTCTTCTGTTTTGGCTTCATGTTGGTCCTCATCCTACCCACCCATGAGTACTGTACACATGCTAGCCACCGCAGAAGGGGTGGCTTTTGGGTGTTGACGGTATATGGGTGGACTCAGCAGCAGCAGCAGCAGAAGGAACTGTAAAGAGGCTGCGACAGGCAATTAGTGGTTTATGTCTGATAGAGCTTTTACATGTGGTCACTCCCAAAATGGAAGCAAGTGTCACACCAGTGCACATGAGCCATCCCATGTTTCTTTAAATGAGCGGTTCTGTTAATAAAAAGAGCGACACACATTATGTCTAGGCTACAGCTGATTGATCAAGCTGAACACTACAAATTAAAAAACAAACTATTTCGAATGTGAATAAAATCAGACTGGAAAGGGAAAATAAGATAATGTTTCACTGTCGAACATAGTTACTTTAGCCTCAGTTATTCTGTGATATTGCACCTCTACAATCTAAACTAGTGCTCAAGTCCAGCAGTGATAATCTTTAGTCTCTTTATACATATTATCAGCCTTAACGTGTGGCAGCTCAAAAACACAGATTTATTTTTTTTTAAACTTAGTCCTTAGATGTGTCTTTCATATCCTCCTCTGCTTTTAAACATTATTATGACAACAGCTCCATAGTTTATGCATTAACTCTGTCTTTATTAGCCACAAAAGTTTACAAAAGACCAATGCTGAAGAACAGATTTCCAAGTAAACATTTGTTGATCCATCATATGATTACATATGTAGTGTTGCTCTGGGCATGATTCTTTGACTGTAATTTGACCCGGTTGGGGCTGCATGTAACCATTTACATCTACAGATTATTTCTTGATCAATCAGTCATTTGTCTATAGGAAACTGCAAATAGTGTAAAATTCCCACAACCCACAGTGACAAATTAAGAAGTCTTGTTTTATCACACAAACAGTTTAAAATGCAACGATATACAGTTTAGTGTCACAGAAAATTAAAATATAAGCGGGATTGTCTGATCTCAAAGAGTTTCATTTATCAAATCTCAACATATTTCCTAATAAATGTTCTGTTATTTGATTGATCAGCTCATTGTCTAACTGTTGCAGTTCTATATCAACGTGTGGAAAGTTGTCGCCACATGTTTTACATGCTAGCTCGAGGTGCTGTTTGCCTTTTGTTCAGGTACATCTACACATGCATGAACCACTCACTCCCTGAGTTAGCAAGTGAAAAGAGGACCATTACGACCAGTGATGGCCTCTTAAGCCGCCTGCCCTGATACGGTCTGATCTTTGTGACCGCAGTTAGCAGGAATGTACACATTCAGGGCTGTGAATGTGTGTGAGAATAATGCAAAATGAAGGGAGGGTCCTAGTGTGGAGGTGTGAACAGCTGTGTGTGGTAGAGGCAAGGAAGGGGTCCTCCCACTTACCAATTTATGGTCTTGTGTAAGGTCCCAGGATCCAACCCTTTCCCAGTAACACACTCTCTTAGGAAGACACACACACACCTCAGGTTGACTGCTGCAATGCCTGAAAAGACATTGCTACCAGCAGAGACTTTGTCCTCTTGCCTTAGCCCAGGAGATCATGAGGGAAGCCTCTCACTCATGTCTGTCTTTGTTCTCTTCCAGTCTGCTGCTTCCTCTGATGGCGGTGAGTGAATTTTCTTTATTATCTACTTAAAACAATAGCCTTTAAGAAGAATAAAAAAAAAAAAAATCAAACATCATGCTGTATGAGTTTTAAAAAGGGATTCAAGCTGTTACTATTTCTAATATAAAAACTGAAGAACTAACAGGTTTGTAAAAAGCATTTTAAAGCCTCAATTACCCCATTGTACTAACACACACTTTTTGATCTTGACTAGCTTGTTGTGCTTTGTCTGTATTTTAGTGCCAGTGTTTTTATTTCTCATTTTCTTTTCCACCCTCTACACACAACTTTGTAGTTGCTCAATAAAATTATCTCATAAAAAAGTCTTTTACAGAGGGCTACGTATTCACTGTAGGTAGCATGCCTCATTAACAAAGGATGTTTGTCGAGCATATTTTGGGTTACAGCTGGGGCTGGTGGGTGTGCTGTCTGGTCCTCCCTTCCACAGCAGCTTTAACAACATTTCCTAACAGGCTGACTGAGGCTATGGCGAGGAGTGTTATTTTACAACAGCTCATGATTCAGTTGAACTAGGACACACTGTACATTGGAAAGGTTATACAGAGATCACCGTAGTCGTACTCTCTTTGTAATGTCATGAACTATTTGCAGGGCTTTTATTTCACAAGACCACAGTTTAACCGCAACTGTTGGTAAATCTGTCCCACTTACACATGTATCTTACTTGATCTGGCTTGGATTTCTGTTCTTGAATGCAACACTTTTAAGACCAGTTGCCCATGCCAACAAGTTGCATGTCCACAGATTGATGCTATAACAATTACTGTGACCCTTTTGTTTTTTTTTTTTACTGTGCACCCCTTGCTTGGTCTGCTCACAGCTCTAAAGTTGCCATCTGCTGCTATGATAGCAGGTACTGCGCAGTCCGAGGTTCCACTTTAGCTAACCACCAGTTAACCACCCTTTAATCAACTGTGTTGTGTTCCCTCTCCTTGTTCTCCTGTTGTTCTGTTCTCTCTTTTTGCTGCTCTCTCTGACAAAGTGAACAACATCTGCCATTTCCCTTTGTGGGATGCAATCAGATATTCTGGTCCTGTGCCCCACACTTAACCACAGCATAGGTTTTGAACTCTGACTTTCACATATTGTGTAATATATGAAATGTGCAGCAGTCGATAAAGATCATAAGCTTTTGTCTTATTGTCTAATCCATCGTCTAAGAGTGGTAGGGCACCTTCTCTCTTCAAATTTTCCTAGTATCTAAAAAAAACTTTAGGACTATTTGTTTCCTCTTTCAGTTCCAACAAGGTCGTATTATTTTATTTCGTACTAAAATCCAATAAACTGTTCCAAGAAAAAAATCATAGACATGACTACCTTTGTGGGCGCTTTTTGAATATGGGTTATTCCATCTCAAATCATCAGGACCATTTCTGCCCGACCATCTCTGACACAACAGTTGTTCCCATTTCTCCAGAAGAGCTATAATAACCTTAATGAAAGAACTAAAGTGCATTCAAGACATGTGTTTTATTACCTATGTCATCGAAAATTTGAAAGATCCATTGGAAACTCAAGACTTGTGTATTAAATGTAGTCTTTACAAGCAAATGTCAACTTAACTTCACAACTGCAGGAGAGCATGACTTAAATGGTAAATTATCTTCCTAGAAGTATATTAATTCAATAACCATGATAAGTACGACAACAGTTCACTGTGTTTCTCCAGCCTGCAAATGAGGTCTGAAAATGAAAAATAACCACTTGTCTTAGCTGCTCGGTCAGTTATTAAATTTAAACAAAAACTTTATTTTTTTTAATTTAACCATTTTTTGTGGTCAAGTCCATTATCCATCCATTATCTATATACCGCTGAATCCTCAGTAGGCCTGTGGGGGGGCTGGAGTCTATCCCAGCTGACTCACGGCGAAGGCAGGGGGCACCCTGGACAGGTTGTCAGTCTATGGCAGGGCTACACAAAGAGACAACCGAGCACACTCACAGTCACACCTACGGACAATTTAGAATCACCAATTAACCTTAGTATGCCTTTGAGCTTTGGGAGAACCAGATGAGAACCCATGCTGCACAGGGAGAAAATGCAAACTCAACACAGAAAGATCCCAGACCCAGGCCGAGACGCAAACCGGGGGTCTTCTAACTGTGAGGCGACCACCAAGTCACCATGCAGCATGATCAAGGGTTTCATATCAAACAGTGTTCTATATGTCTTGTGTTGCATTATTGTGACATGTGACTACTGCCTAAGAAAATGTCACTGCACAAACTTCTGCACAACCTTTTTTTATGTGTGCTCAAAATGGAACTTCAATATATTTTTTTAAAATTTAAACTTACCTATATTCAGAGATTGTTTTGATCTACTTTTCCAGTGTTTCTGATTCTAAATCAATGGCATGATGAGAAACAGTTAAAGTTTCAGGCCTTTATTTGCCTTTCAAACATAGCCTTACATTTTTACGTGCAACAGACTATGCAAAAAATGGGTCACTGGCAATTTTTTAAAAATTGAAACGTTTTTAATATATATTAAATAAAAGATTTCACAAATATGTTTAAAAATAGGCTAATCTCTCTAAAAAATGTGATGATTTGAATCACCCATATGAGTATTAATAGAGTGTCTTTTTGACAAGTCAGTACCGTATGGATGTGTATAGTTTCTTTGACGAGAAAAAAATACAAGACTCAGTTCACTTAAATGAATTAAATTCCAGAATAACTGCAGTTTGCCTTCTGAAACACTCAGATCTGCTAACTATACACAAAAATCCACTGAAATCTTTTGAAGTCATGAGAGGGCACGTGGAAGTATGGCTCTAACATTCCCTCTGGCCTGAATTACCCTTTATCGCCTGAGCTCTCTAACCTTTGCATTGTGCTTTCCCTTCTTGCAGACTATAGTGGAATCCAGCTGCAGGGATGCTGCAGTCAGAGCAGCCTAAACAGTAATGGCAGTCTACCGGGAACAGGCAGCCATCGAGGGGTTCCAGAGCAACGTGTGGCGAGCTGGGCAGCCTGCTTCGAGCGTCTCCTCCAGGATCCTGTGGGCGTGCGTTACTTCTCGGTAAGCTGAGAAAAAAAAGTTTTATGTAATCAAATAGTTTCAAAGGCTATCAGAAGTGTTGTCAAGCAGCTTTTCGGTAATTAAATCTGTAAGTAAATGGGGTCGCTGCGCACTCTTAAGTAAGGATTTTATAGATTTTGGTTGACCATTGTTTTGACAGCAGGGGGCGACTCCACTGGTTGCAAAAAGAAGTCAGATTCTATAGAAGTCTATGAAAAAATGAATCTATTTCTTCCTTGATTTGTTTCCTTGGTATACTATTTCCTAATATGTTTATAGGCTTAGTCGTTGGCTTTAAGTTATTGTCAATACAGCATGTCATTTGGTATGCTTTAGGGCATGGCTACATCATGACTGAAAAGTAGGTATTTATGGACGTGCATAGTTTCTTTGAGGCAAAACTACTCACATGTCGCGTCCAGTTTTACAAGACAAGAGGGTGAAAATCTAAACCTACAGCTTTAAGACTGTGACCCACAAAGCAATAGGTGACGTCACAATTTCTACGTCCATTTCTTAGTAAATGGTTTAATTTCTTGGCAACCAAAATACCTTGAAAGCAAAACCATCTTTATGAAGACATTTGTCTGACATTTTTTGTGAATAATAGCTGAAGTTTTGAATCATCAGTCTGGATTGAGTCACTAGACATTTTGTTTTTCAAGAACCAATAGGCGGAAATGGCAAGAAGACATTCCATTAACCTTACATTATCGGATGTTTTTAGACACTTGGGAGGAGTGGAAAGAAGTTGTAAATGCAACACTGACACACACACTTGCTTATTGCATATCTAGTGGATTTGACATTCATTTAGAGTTACGCTCCATAGAAGAAACTGATTATCTGCTGATGATCAGGTCACAGGAGCAACACTTTCAAAGTTTTGGTTTGTAAATTGATTATAGGTTTTTATAAATGTGCAATTGATTCTAGTTCAGAACTAGAGTGAGTAAAGGCACCTCCTTTTGTACTATCATGTACCATTTCCTCCCACGTAAAAGATGTGTCTTTTGAATTTAGCCCACAACACCTTCAAAAAGCTCAATATTAAGTTTGGCATCATAAAACCACCTTCCTCCTCACCTTTCTTTAACACTGATCAGAGCCGCACTCGCCTACAACGTTCTGCGCCTACACTTACACCAATCTTGTTACATTACACCTAATAATTTCAATCCTCACTACAGGTCTGAACAGTAACCGCGTTGGAAAGAGAAGAAATCACTATCACTAGTTTGAGATCACATGAAACCTTCTTGTGCTGTGTGTTTCCACAGGAATTTCTTAAGAAAGAATTCAGTGAGGAGAATATCTTGTTCTGGCAGGCCTGTGAATACTTCAGTCATGTCCCTGCAACTGATAAAAAGCAGGTAAGTCCACAGCGTGCAGCTACAGATGCAGCTATTGTTTTGTATCATGTTAAATGATGCTGTAATGCCCACTGTGAATTGGTGGATTATGTAAAAAAAAAAAAATCTTCTGAATTATTCTTAACAACCTGAAGACTTAAAATTATTCACAGCTTTAAAAAAAAAAAAAAAAATCCATGACTTTTATCTTGTGTCACCATTTTACATTCTATATTACAGCACAGTATAATAGCCACTAATGGGATTAAAGATCAGTCTACATCAGATGACATGTTAAAGATGATTTATAGTTGCATGTTAACCCAAAGACAGGCAGCAGCATCATTTTCTACAGTTCTTGAAATTCTCATCAGTCCTCTTTTTCTGCAGCTGTCCCAGAGAGCAGGAGAGATTTACAACAGCTTTCTGTCCAGCAAGGCCACCATGCCAGTTAACATTGACAGCCAAGCCCAGCTGGCTGATGACGTCCTCACCTCCCCAAGGCCTGACATGTTCAAGACCCAGCAGCTACAGGTACCAACAATACAGCTGCTGGCTTTATTTATTAGGGTTCCACAATCTGTTATAGATAATGTGGTGTTTCCAGTTATTCGAATACTCCACATATCTAGGTCTTCCCACATTTGAATTATATCAGCTGTTTGACATCAAGCTTAAGATCAAGACGTTTTCTAGACAGTGTTAATGGATAGGAGATTCTGTGTGAAGTCGGGGGGGTTTGTTCTCATCTAGCCTTTAGTCGCTTTGTGCAAGCATATTGGGTTTTTTTTTTTTTTTTTTTGGTGGCCATCTGGGTTTGTTTACAAAAGGGCTCTAAGGCTTTACCAGAGAGATAAACACAAACTGGCATACACCCACAAATAATCTAGCACATAGTGTACACACAGACCCATAGCCATGCACTCAAAGATCTGTATATTTTTAGGTTGCACAAGCGCGAGATTAAATCCTAGTTGGTAAGGCTCCTGTCATAACAGCAGCCAGCTATATGTTAACACAAGTATTTCCTTCTCTCTTGTTTAGTTCTGTTTCATTTTCTCTCCGTCGCGATCACATTTTTGGCCACAAGTGCCTCTTTCTGTATCTTCCTCTCTTATTTACATCTTCTGTCTTTCACAAACCTTCTTCGCTCATGTCTGATGTCCACGTTTGTCACATTTGCAGATCTTCAACTTGATGAAGTTTGACAGCTATTCCCGATTCCTCAAGTCCTCCCTTTACCAGGAGTGTATGCGCGCTGAGGTGGATGGTCAGCCCTTGCCGGACCCCTACCAAATCCCCTGCAGTCCTGCGCCCTCAAAACACAGCGCTAGCTCTGACCGCTCCACCCTCTCCACTCCGAAAAAGGTACCATTGCAGCATTTTGACTGTATGAAAGAAATTGAGCACATAGATGTATTTATTTGTTGGCACTGGCTGCATCTGTCTAGAGCGACAGGTAAAATAGATTTTTGTTTGTCTTTCAACCCACAGGAAGCCAGAAAGCAGCGGTCAGGGAGATCACTGAACGAGGACAGCAGGGATGAGAGCGCAGACAAGAAACGTGGCATCTTCTTCTCGTGGTCCCGCAACAGGAGCTTTGGGAAAGGTCCAAAGAAGAAGGAGATTGGAGACATTAACCTCGGTGAGAAATTAATTAACAACCCTGTAGCCTGCTGGTTGCAACGGTTGGCATTGTTTTATGCTTTTGTGATAAAAGACTGCTTGAGTTATCCTTGAGCAAGACACCAAACCACTGCCAGCTCCATGTTTGCCATGAGATATGTCGACACACTGCTGCCCTGCAGTGATCAAAGTGTTACAGACACACACACACACACATACAAGTTAAAGTAAAAGCACAAGTAGCCGTATAATTTTTAGTTAGAAATTCAGCATAGTGATCTGCCTTTCTTGCTAAATATAACCTAATATGCATTTCACACTGATGCTTTAAAGATCTCTCAGTAAGTGTAATGCTGCATAAATTTAATTCACAATTTACTGGCATGTCTTGTTTGATAGGATACATCTTTTTACATGCCAAGATTCCCTGCTGACCAGCAATTATAAATCAAAAACATTGGTATTTCTCATGATATATCTTGACACTGTCTTAGTGTTGCACAAGTATTATTTATATTGAGAAGTGTCCTAATGTCTCTTATCTGCATGAAATCATCATTCTCCATGCCGCTTTGTGCAGATTACTGGGGAAGTAATGGGAGGAGGGAGTCCCAGGGCTCCTTGTCGTCCGGCACCAGTCTGGAGATGGCCACTTCCTGCTCTGCTGGCAAGATTGAGGTAAGATTCCTCTAGAAAGATCACCATGGCAACACAGAGCCCAGTGCCTGCTGAAGCCATCATAATAGGCCAGAGTATTTTTTTTTTCCTACTTTTCAACCCACTCATATTTTGTTTATGGATAACATAAATGACGGTGGTTCATTTGTTATACTTCTGTCCCCAGACCGATAATCGTCACTCAGTCGGTGTGTGGGAACGTTCACCCAAACATTGTAGCGTGCTGCTGCCCGACGGTTCCTGTTCTTCTATCACCCTTCGGCCCAGTGCCTCCATTAGAGAAGTTCTCCATGATCTCTGTCACAGCATTAGTGTCAACATCGCTGCCGTCGACCTTTTTCTGGTGGGAGGAGAAAAGGTGAGAGGGGTAGATGATACCTTACCACATGAGTAATAGATGCTAAGAACAGCAAGTGCTATTATATCGTACAGCTACAAAAAACTTTTTAATGAATTTAGTCAATAAAACTAAACTTTTAATTTGGCGTGCTTTATTTTGTGGGAACTCCTTGATCTAAAACTGAATCCAACATTGAAGTGAATCAAAAATGATGTGTCTCTTGATTACAGTTGATTAAGCTAGATGTGTTGCATTTTCCTGCTCTTTTATCCCACAGCCTTTAGTGTTGGACCAAGACTGCATGACGCTCAGCTCACGAGACCTGAGACTGGAGAAGCGTACCCTGTTTAGGTATGAAAGTTCACTCAAGTTCAATTTCTCATTTCGTGTTTATGCTTTTCATCCTCACATTTACTCGTGCTCTTTGTTTGCTCTTAGATTGGACCTGGTACCCATTAACCGCTCTGTGGGGCTGAAAGCCAAGCCTACCAAACCAGTCACTGAGGTCCTGCGTCCCGTGGTGGCCAAATATGGTCTCCACCTCAGTGATCTTGTGGCCAAAATAGTAAGTTGCTCCCAGTGGTTACAATGCCTTTTTGAAGCTCCCGTGTGTCTACGGAACAGCCTGTATAGTGTATGACAGTGCCACAGGGTGGAGTATTATGGTTAGGGGAGGGAAACGACCGCATCCTTTTCCATCTCTACATGGTGGTTAGCACTCTGACTCAGCCCAGCCTGTGAAGATGGATCACAAGGGCTATAATTAAGAATGACGACATTCCTCAAACATGCCGACTCTTTCCTCCTCCCCTTAACCCCTGGAAGATTTATTTTAGTCCCGTGGGTTTCCAGGCGTTATAGCTGTATTATACAGTATACCAGAGCTGAAAGAGGGTTTGTAAATTAAGCAGAGGCTCATGCCCTCAAAAATCCGCCATGTGCTTAGGTGTAGTAAATAGCATCATACTGTATTTAGACTTCTGCGCCACAGGTAAAGATACAAACATGTTGACCATGAAATTGCTTTTTGTTTCAGAGTGGAGAGACTCAGCCTTTGGATCTGGGTGCCCCCATATCGAGTCTGGATGGCCTACGAGTTGTGTTGGAGCGATCAGATCCATCCTCAGGGAAAGGTAAAACACTCAAGATGTCATGCTAAATGTTACAAATGGACGAATGGTAATTCAATTTTAAAAATATATTTTACTCAATGCAGCCTAGAACAACTGTACTGGGTTACTCCTTCTCAACCAGACACCAGTTTCTGGAAATTTTAAATTGCAAATGGAGTGTACCTCTGTTATTCCGTTGATTAACACATTCAAGTTTTGCAGTTTTGTCTCAAGTGTCCCTTCCTCTCCTCCCCTCCCATTCGCTCTCTCCTCATCAGTTTCTTAACCCGATGAATTTTTCATGTACACATTTCTCTCTCTCTCTCTCTCTCTCTGTCTAATAGACAAATCAAAGTCTTCCTCCCTAAAAAACCACCCTCCAACCCGGAGTTTTTCTGCAGCAGTAAGTACTCCTGACATCTTTATTCTCATCCATTTTACTAAAAAGTCTAAATGTTGGGGTTTTGTCCTTTTCCACTGCTATGCTGCTTCTGCAACATCGAGTTTCATCGTATAGCGGCTCACTTGCCAGCCAATGTTAACTATTAGTTGGTGTTCAGTTCCTGTGTTTTTGGTATACTTCTCCCTAACACTGCCTGTCGCTGACTCACTCACTTAGATGTGCTGTGGTACTGCACCATATGAAGGCAGATCAAACTTAGCCTGGATAGTATCAAAGATGCACAGCCAACAGATGGACCAGACTCATTTTACACAAAGGTTTCAGTAAATCTGGACACTGCTGACTAGGGTGCTTAGCAGCTCATGCTTAGCCTTCCCCTACCCCCACCCCCACCCTCCCGACCCTCCATCTCCTAACAGAGTGCATTTTTTTGTTGCATCTGCAGGGAGATGAGAGGTCAACACCAAAGGACTTTTCTGTGAGAACAAGTGGACCAGACTCAGCACTCCCAGGGGGAAACAGAATACAGAAAAAGATAAATATAGATGAAGCTGAAGGTAAATCCCCCTTATCCTTATTTCTCTTTCTCTCTTTTAACTTGTGGTGACTCTCTTTAGCTTTGCTTTGCCTCAGCACAAACTAATATCTTTGGCAGCTCTCGAGTATATTTGTCTCTCTCAGGTGTGAGGCTGCTATTGCTGCATGTTAAAACCTACTAATCCTTTTCTTTTATTTGTTTGGAAAATTTAAGTGAGGAAACTTGTTTGACCTGTTTCTAGAATTCTTTGAGCTGCTGAGCCGGGCACAGAGCACCCGAGCCAATGACCAGCGTGGACTCCTCAACAAAGAAGATCTGGTGCTTCCGGACTTCCTTCGCCTGACGTCCCCCACTTCCTCCTGCTCTGTCTCCTCTGATCTCGCCTCCACCCCTGACTCTCTGAAACAGGGCCGAGAGAACGGCATGTCCTCACGGGGTCCCTTCATCTCCAGCCTACGTTCGGAGAGCCTGGACTCCTCGCTCAGCTCCAGTGCCAATGGACACTCGGGGGTGAGGCGGTGCCTGCTGCCCCCTCCTCGCCACCCAACTTTTGGCACCCACTTGTCCCCTATCCCCCGGCCCTCAGACACACGGCCAAGCCTCTGCACTGTGGAGGAGGACGCCCACGCCGACCTGACGCTTGTGGGTGAAGGCGATATCAGCAGCCCCAACAGCACTCTGCTGCCTCCTTCACCGTCCCCCATGCCGTCCTTCGAGAACAGCCTGCCTGAAGCCAATTTCACTCCACCACCCCCCTGCTCCCGGCCTCAAGGTGGCGAGGAAAAGTCCAGTTCAGGTATTTCTGAAGTGTAACAAACCAGTGCTCTGTGTGTTTGCGTGTGTGTGTGTGTGTGTGTGTGTTTCAAATGTGCACGTACGTGCTCTCTGTGGTTAAAACTGGACCACTGTCATGATCAAACTCCCTCTACACTGACTCTGATGCACTTTAATGGCAAATTGATATTGGTTCTTTCTCAGTATGCCTGATTTGTTTTATTAAACTCAGCAGCATGTGTGTGATTGATTATATTTTCACTCAGATCGACTTGTAAATAGTGATGTGTATATTTCTTTCCGTGAGTTCCTTGGAAGTCACTTTCGATGCCACAAGTTGTTGAGTTGACCGTGTGACTGGCATTAATTCAGTCGCGTTAATATTTAGAGGTTTTTTTTGTGTAGTTTTTCATGCATGCAAATGTGACTGACTACAGAGTTCATGAATATAAATAACACATGCGTAATGCATACAGATCGAACATCAATATTTGACGTTACTATAGTCAGTCAGTGTTGTGCTGAAGATTAGAATTCAAAACAACTGAACAATTGAAAGCGATGAGATTAGCATCATGTGCAAACATTGTAACCAACCCGACCCTGCATTACAATGTTGGACCTGCGAATGCTAATCAGTAGTAATCCCTCCAGGTAAGAGCAATTCAACAATGTCAAAACACTCTTCATCTAATGCAACTGTATCAAACCACTGACTCATTAAACATTGTCAGCTCCTGCTGTAGCAATTTGAGAACTGGGTAAAAATAATTAGCAATTTGAGGACAAGTGCTCCTTAGTGCAAGTGACATTGTTGAAGTGCCTGTCATCCTTTCTCTGGCTCATCCACTCTCTCTCTAGGTGCCTGTTGTAGATAATCACTGCCAATAAAATCTGTATCTGTGATTGAATGGATCTAATAAATGTTAGAATTGGAAATCACTCTCGTCTGTCTTTTTACACGTTTTGTGAGATTCTCCCACCACCTCCACTTCTTCTCTCCTCTTCACCTCCACATGCATTTCTCACGTTCTCCCATAGCTCTCTCATTTTGTCCTTTAGCTTACCCCCTCCTATCAGCTCTCACTCCTTTTGTGTGCGTCCCTGTGTGTGCTTCCTTCCCGCCGTCGCTACTCGCCTTGTGTTTTCAGTTCAGATTGATCAATGTGGTGTTCGGTCACATTGCTTTGGCCTACCTGCTTGTCGTATTGTGTGTGTGTGTGTTTTTTTTAATCAGGCCACTGCTGTGTCTTGTGTGGATCTCTTGAGTTTGTCTCTTGTTAAACTTGTGCTTGCAGAGCTTGTTGCGGTGTTGGTTTATTGTGTGTGGACTGCAAGGTCATCTCCTGCAGATGATTTTCATCTTCTGTTTTCCACCTCTGTGTCATGTCCCCTCGTTGTGTCTGTTTAGGGGATTTTGTCAGTCAAGCGTGATTTGTATTGGTGATGGCTTTTTCTACAGTCGGTGTGATATTGTCAGAATATCTTTGCAGTTGTGCTTCAGCTCAGATATTCATGCATGTTTTGACTCTGGCTTGCAATAAAATCCCCCAAAAGCGCTTCATGAAACACTGTAAACCTGATACATAGAAAAAAAATGAACACACTCACCATGTTTCTAGCAACAAAGCCTGATATTGCACTATTTATTGAAGGAACACCCATATGACCCCATCATGATTAAGGCTTTAAGTATGAAAATATGTAAGCAAGATGATGAGAAAGAAGCCTTTCAGCTTTAGTACAGTCTCACTCCTCTTATCTGGTTGCTAAGTGCATCAGGCTGATTCTTCCCACCACCCGGCACCATGGTAACCTTATCCACAAGTTGACTGAGCTGCAGATATAAACTGTCACTACTGGTTTTCATCTGTCTCCCTGCCTATTTCACTCCCTCTATTTTTCCCACTCGCTCAAAGCACAGCACCGATTTCGTATAGCGACAATTTTAACACCATTGTCACCTTGGCATTGCCGAGTCTGTGCCGGAATCTGCAAAATCCCGAAATTGAGTTAACACGCCTCCACTTTCTCACTCTTTAGAGACTTTTTGAAGTTGTTCCATTTGTGAAGTTTTTGTTCACGAGCTTGATTATAACTTTAAGGAACAAACACCCATTGAATAAGGTCTCTAATTCCAAACGAGTCCAAATACGGCTCAATAGCATTTTACTGCCATTCTCTCTGTCATTTAGTTTGTGTGTAGCTGTTAAACCGACGCCCTCTGCTGTTCCCAGGAAACAGATTACGGTCATTCTCACTTTTATATTACCAGAAATGATACAGTGCTGCAGAAAAGAAAAAGGGGTAAATCCTACTTGTTTATTGCTCTTCGCATGTAAGGTAGATGTAATTTTGTGCATTTATAATGTGCACAAATTACCAAAAGATCACAGGACACCTTGAGATGCATGCATCAACAACACACAGTTTCTCTTGTAGTAAAAAGAAACAACGCACTAATGCACATTTGCATGCAAAGGAATAGCTCTAAGGCAGATGTCCTCGAATGATAAGAGCACTCCTGGCCCAAGAAGTGGTTTGCTGACTTTACTTGGCATGCCAGGCAAAGCATCTGGTCTACATCCAGAGCAAGGATTAAGACCTGCTGTTTCCTGTAACCTAGATCGTTTCTGTAAGGACATCAGGAACGGCTACTCTGCTCCTGTGGGTGATGTGATGTCCACTAGGGGGTGACATCACACAATGTAAGTCCATTCATATGGCACTGATTTCGATTCAATACATAGTAAGTCAGCAAAATAAAAAAAGGGTGCTCTCCTCAGAAAAATAACAAGTTGCAGCATGCAGATGGATACTAAGCCAAGAAATATACAAGTGATTTATTCAGTCAGTCTTGGATGTCAGTTGCTTGGGTTTTGATCAAAAGGAGAAAATTAAGGATGCCTTTGAGTGACTGGGGATTTTATGCACACCTGAGGCAGCATCAGCTCAGTTTACCTTCCCCCTCGTGTCCAACCGAGAGTCAGCTCTCGACAGCCGCTGACCCTGGGCCAGCCTTATCATCCATCTGGCACTCAGAGGAGGACTTAACGCAGATATTTGGCAGTAAGGACCGTAGCTGGGACCGTTTGTCTCAATGTCAAAATGACTGCCAAGAGATCTTTAATATATTTTGTAAACTACAAGATGTAAAACCATCCAATATTTCACAAGCACATAGCAATTAAAGGCTGATTTTAGATGAGATGATGAAGCACTTTGCAAAACTGTCATTACGTGATCATCACATACACTAGAAAGAGACATGTGGTGATAAAATAGCACTTATGAAAACCCTATAAAGTTTTATTTAGCCATCATATTACTCCAAAATGCAACTCACTATGATGCCTTGGAACTTCTTACACAACCTCAGCAGTTTAAAATTCCGTGTATTTTCTGGGAGCTACATTTTGTCGTTGAGCTTCTATTATTATTATTATTTTTTTTACAATGCGCGGTGCTTTGATGGTCTGTTTAAATTTAGCCGCCTGAGCTCACAGGCTGTGTTTACATCTGTACCGGACACCAGTGAATCACAAGCCAGCGGACTTCAGAGCATCTATGTGTTGAAGTGCCGTGTTTGAGTCAGTCAGGCCTCTGTTGTTTAGAATCTGTGGGGCCACAAGGTTCACACGAGAATTGGAAAGTTTAATCACTCAACGTAGCTGTGATGCCAGCACTGCAGAAGCAGTGGGCTTGTAGCGCCCTCGGTGCACTTGACAAGATGTTTAACTTGTGTTCCATCAGGGCCTTCTGATGAGATCATGCATCTCTCAGCTGGTAAAGTCCAAATATACCACATCTGACATAAACACAGTGAATAACTCAAGATTCGATCATGACTCAAATTCATTCAGTTCTTTTCCATGCAAGTGAGGTAAGCAAAGTTTAGCAGAAGTAGTCATCAGGTTTGTCTTGGCAACAGCTGCCCAACACAACTGTCAACTCATACCAACATATTAAACTGAAGTGTTCATTCAAGCTTTGTGGAGTTAACCCTATTCAGGACTTTCATGTTGCCATACATGGAAGATCTTTCCAAAACAGAACATGTGCAAAATATTTGTTGGTATTCATTATAGACTTTTATACTGTGTTAAATATATTTTTCTGATAAGTTGACGTATTTTTGGTTCCAAATGCATGACGAATGTCCCTCTTTTTATTTAAAAAATAAAAATAAATCTTCAAAAATAACAAAAATCAATTCATGTCACCTAAACCAAATGGTCTGGGGTCCAAAAGAACCCAAAAGTCCTGAAGAGGGTTAAAGTTTGAGTGATAAAGTTTCTTAGATCCATCGTAAAATCTAATGTAGTCAGACTAAACATATGGCTATGATGCAGTATAATGAGAAGTCAGTAGGAAAGAAGTGACATCAAAGTATGATTGGATTTCTTGTATCTGTGTTCCACCACTTGTAAAAGGACATTTCTAATAACAACATGACAAATGGAGCTGCCTTTCTAAAGCTGCAGCAATTCACCTTTTTGCTAAACAATAGATTCAATGACAGAGTGTAATGTTGCACTGAGCATCATCATCTCTGAGCAGTTTTGCCATTTTATCCTCCTTTAGCTTATTGTTTTGGTTTGTCAGGTTGTATTCCGTATTTAAGTGACATGACACCAAATATATGTCTGCATGCATCCTCTGCTGTCACCAAGTGGCCAAAAATGTGTGAATACAACTTTAACCATTTTTTCCCCAACCACCCTCAGAAATATTCAATTAGCTACTATTGTACAAACTCATCCTAAATCTCACATGTCTTTCTTTTCTCCCAGAGGGAAGAGCCGAAACATCCCCCATCGCCAAACCACCAGCCAACCAAGCCAACGCTGCGCCGATGATTCCAGAGGTGATGGATGTTGAGGGAGTTCATCTAGAAGAGGGGAGACTGGAAACGTCCCAGGGAGAGGAGTCCGAGCTGAGCCTGAGTTTCCAGGGCTACGTCGCTGAGCTGCGACAGTGCCAGAGCAAAATGAGGAACGCCACGATGCCCCAGAACGGCCACAACCCGCCGGACGGCAAGGACTGCAAGACAGACCTTTACAAGGCCACAATTGTCTAGAGGGAACCCCCCCCCACCACCACTGCTGCACTTTTTTTTGCACATGAAGCATTGCCGTTTAAAAGGAAACGCATGTACAAGCTGTCGATTTAATCTAAAAAAAATCTATATTATGGTGATAGATGTTGTATATTTGTTACGAATGATGGTGTCTTCTTATTGAGTTTTAGTATTGCTTGTACATTTTGGACAGTGATAGTTTTTTTGTTATTGATATGGTTTAATTATTAAGTGCAGAGCATTTCTATTATGAGACAACCGCAGGAGAAGCTTGAACCTCATTTTTGGGTACCAGTTTCTAATAAGGCAATATAAACATGGTTTAAAAGTTGTAAATAATGGGTTTATTATAGGCTTGCTAATAAGTCATCAAGATAAACTGACTTATGCTAGTGAATGATAATTACTAAATGAATTATTAACCCTTAATTCGGCTTAGGCACATCAGAAAGTCGGGCAAAAAGCTGGAAATGTGCGCAAAAGCTCCGGTAAAGTTAAGAAAATAGAAGTCATTTTTGATGATTTGTTAAATGCAGCGTCTTAACACCACGTATAGAAACTATGAGATGTAGATGAAAGCTCTGGAAAAAGATTGTAAATGTTTTTTTTAAATCTATGTTGTATAACTGATTTTTTTTTTAGAGTATTAACAAATGGTTTGATTGAATTAGTAAGTAAATCTTAAGGTATTTTTTGTTGTCCATGTGCTGTTGCCCTGTTAGAAAGTAGTACCCACCATATGTTAAACTGAAGTCTTGGAATCAAATGGGAGGCAAACCACAATTTTCTTGCAGATTTGACGATTTCTTGTCTTGTGTTTTACAAAAAATAATACATGACGGTACCTTTATTGCCTGTACTTTCTGCTTCTGTGGTTTTGAGGTTGTCCAAACTGGTGAATATAAAGCTTTAATGGATGTAAGTCCAAACAAACTGACACTTTTGACTTTTGTACTACATAGTTTAGGTGACCAGGTGGAAAGCCTTGCCATCACAGCGTACACCATATAAGAAAAATCTGTCCAAGTTTATAACCCAAAGTCTAACATTCAAGGACCTGAATCGTCCTCCTCAGCATATCTGGCCAGCTCATTGTGTTTGCTAAGTTAGTCAGCATTGTCAATAATTAATGATATAGTTGTCTTAGTTGAACAACTTCCTCTCTGGAGACACTCTTACCTTTCACGTAGAGACTAGCTACTTATGTGAACGTGCCATTTAGCCGTCCAGCCTCCTCTTTGTATTTTTAGCTTCGCATCTGGAGTGTGATTATCACAGCTGGTGAAAATTAGAGGTTAGATTACAGGACTGGGGAGTTTGTCTTGACTCAGCATGCCACTGCTGGAATGCTGATAACACGTGGAGCTTATAGGGTTAGCTGGGTGATTTACTTTCATGCCCTTATTTCAAACATATTGAGTTCTTGATTACAACCCTCATCCCCTCAGATCCTAAACTCACCTTCTGACCGGATGTTCTCTTATCTTAAGAACTTATAGATATAACACATCACTCACCTGTAAACATTTTACTGTACAGACTGTCGTATGGTCGCTTCAGTACTGTGGCACGATGCATGTTTGGTCTCTTACTTTGAAAGCTGGACACACCTGTGTTACTCCATTCCCATTCTGTAACAAATAACTGCAAAACTCATTATCCACATTCCATCACTTAACATCTTACATGTATTTATTTAGGTCTACAGATCTTGATTGTGAATTGATGGGATAATTTATTAGGAATTTGTTGTATCTTTGAATTGACTTAGCTTTGTGACATGGATGAGTTCTGAGGGTCTAATAAACGGGAAAAGCTATGAATTGGAGGCTGAGAAATTTTGACTTTTGTCTGTAGCTTCAAAAAACTGGATCCCGGAATGCAGTGGTGAATATTTTACTGTGCAGCAGATGCCTAGGTATCTATATCTAGATAGTCTATCACGCCATCAGAACTCCACAGTCCCAGTCGGCAACTTATGTCTTGTTATTTAAAACTTTTAAAAACTGAGATAAACCTCGTGGCGTCACCAGAGTTGTTGGGGCTTTTTCAAAGGTCGAGTAACCACAACCTACATTCCAGGTTAGTTGAAAGTCCCCTATTGTTCCCCCTTTTCAGCAAATTAATGCAACTCTCCCATGCCCACACAGTATGTCTAATTTGAAATACTGCGAAGATGGTTAATTTCACAATGACTGTACAGCCCCTGGCTTTAACCCCGTCCTGAACGGGCTGTGTCAGTGTCTGAAGTTTTGAAAGCCACTAACCTGCTGTCGTCTCCGCCCTCTTCCTGAAGAAACCTTTCTACCTGTCTGTGATTGCCATCCTGGAAAAAGACAGCAGCTGATATAAATGTGTATGCGGGATCAGGACTTTCTTTTTTACCTCTAATCTTCTCTTTGAGCAGGTATCTGATGAAAAAAAATTGCAGAATTCCCCGCACTCCAGTTTTTTAAAACTTATATATAGTGAGTTTTACAATGTGGCGGTGGTTAGAGGGCAGCAGACATGCAAATGGATGTACAAGGCCAAGTTTAGTTTGCATTGAAGTGCAACAGGTAAAAAAAAAGAAATCACAGTAACACATCCAGTCCTTGTTTATTGGTTTCAAGTCGTTTCTAAATTTTCCACCATCTCTTAATGTCCTTTAGCCCTAACATTTCGATAGAGCTCTATCCTGTGAGCATGTGAACAAAGCTAAAGCCACATTACCCACACAACAGACCAACACTAATGATCGTCCGATTGTTGTTGTGCCATCAAAAATAAAAGCAATCACATAACATTTAGTTTTCCTGAGACGTGCTGAGAATGTATGGATATATTAGTATTTACAACCCCAGCCAACAGCATGACAACTGGTGTGCTTGGCATGACTGAGACATTTTAAGGATAGCAGAATGAGCTCTAGAAAGTAAATACATTAACTTTATGGCTTATAACAACTGCAAAACACAATTTAAAAAGAAAATAATTACAACAGTATGGGACCTTTAACCTTCCAACCCAATCAGCCTAAACTGACCTTAACTATTAGCCATTCAGTATAGTAATCTAGTATGTTTCCACTGATTTAGCTAGTTCTGGGTTATCGTCTTATAATTAGGCCAAATTTTCATTTCATTCATAGTAGCCTTTGAAATTCGTTTGAGAGGCAAAGCACAGGCAAAATTAATTATCTTTCACATTGTCTGTCAGCTTTGCATCTTAATGTTTCCATGAAAAACAAACTGCTTGTTAGCGCACTTTGACTGAGAGAATGGATTTTTGTACCAATCCATCAATTATCAAACCACATTTGGCTGTGTTTGCTCAAATTGAACTTTAGACAGATTAAAGGTCCCATATTGTGCCAGTTAAAGCCTCATTTGTTATATCATTTTTAGCTTTTCTGCTCAAAATGCTGCAAAAAACATCACATTTTTACCATGACTATATGACTCTCAGTTTTAGGTTTTTTTTTTCTAAATAAGTTTCTAAATAGTTCCTGGCAGCTGACAGCACATGTCAACCATACCAGGAGTATTCATGGCTCCTAACTTTATCCCTGAGCAATCAGTTCACATTTTACATGTAGATACAGCCATTTTTGTAGTTCGTTTGTCAGTGTCATGGTTGTAAAAGCATTAGTTTGGCTGTGTGGGAAATGGCTCGGCTGGTGAAGCATAGTTCAAAGGTAATGATAGGGGTAGCGACAATGTCCAAAAAAATAAAATAAATCTTTAAAACTTTTACATAACACGAAAAATTTTGATTGTCATTATATAGAAACATTTAGTGGTAGGTTATTCGCAATGTACCGCAGACAAAAACGTGTAAAATATTTTTATTTTATTTATTTATTTATTTTTATTGTGGTATTTTTCATTACAAACTCATAAAAAAACGAACAAACGCAATAAAAAGAAAGAAAGAAAAAAAAAACATTAACAAAATAAAATAAAATAAACATTCCGTGATCTGGATGAAGAAGAAGAAGAAGAAGAAGAAGAAGAAGAAGAAGAAGAAGAAGAAGAAGAAGAAGAAGAAGAAGAAGAAGAAGAAGAAGAAGAAGAAGAAAGCGTTAACTTCTCGAGGAGTAGGACGGAGTTTTGCCTTGTCCCAGCAGCTTTGGCGACCCCCGCCTTCGTCTCTGGAAAGTTTTTGGATTCTCCTTCCCACTCGTATCTTACTCTAATAATCCGTGGGCGTCCGCAGGTGAGGTGCAGAGGGGAGCACCAGTCGGGATATAGGATGCCGCGGAGTTCGACAAGCCTAATGACGCAATGGGTTTACTCAATACAGCTTCAGATTGTGAAGGACAGGATAATACTTGCAGGGTCTCCCACGTTTCCTATGACCAAAAAGCAGGCTGAGCTGATATATATAACCTGACAGGCACACCAAACCTTTTTTTCCGAGTTCAGGAAAAGGCTTCTCCGGACACCAGGAACCATGCAAACTTTCCTCATGTTGCTTTTTCTGTCGTGTGCAGCAGCGGTAAGTTTCAACCATCATGCTTACCTATTGCAAGTAAGAAAACAGTGATTTAACTTCTTTTTTTTTTTTTAATTCGTGGTTTCAGCGCATGTCAGTACCCAGGAATGAAATCTCGAATTCCAGTGAGCCATACAGGGAGAGCCGGAAAGGTAGGCTTTTATTTTTAGTCCTATGTATAATTTAGGGGGGAAAGCAAGGGGAGGGAAGATGCACAGATAGTCTCAGCTGTTGTACATTTTGTTTGGAGCTGCATATATTTAAAATTATGAAGAAGCTAGTGTTTGCATGTCATGTGTGAAGTTTATGTCCTCTCATCAATGTGAAAGAAGTCTATTTTTGTGTTTCAGGGACAGTTTCTGATGTCATTCTTTTGTGTTTTTGATTAACAAGCTGTCTTTTTTTTTTCTTTTGTTGCACTATTTGAAGTTCTTACCACAACAGGCAAAGAATGTAAGCTCCCCTTTCGTCAAGGTGGAAGGCTTCATCATCACTGCATCACCGTCCTGTCCTCGAGACCGTGGTGAGTCCTTATTTGCTAGCTGTCTGGGATCTCTCTGTTTTAGTTACACAAACAGTGTGTGTAATCACCATCAACATCATTAGCGTCATCATCATCAGAGACAGCTCAACAGGTAGCAGGGCTGTTTATATTTGCCCAGACACACACTTTACAAACCACAAAAACCTCTGCGTCACTGGAGCACAATGCACAAGTGTTACGTCACAGGGGTTCGACACGTCCTGAAAAGGAGCAAGACACATTTTCCATCATTCGTTGCGTTTGATGCGTCACTGACGCCGTGTATGATGAAGGTGTGTACCTAATTACAGCACAGTGATGAGGGATTTATGCATCAGTGTCATCAGAACATAAACTGACTTTACTAAACAGCTCATTGCTGAATTGATTCCTGTAATTGCATTCTCATAATACAATGTTATCACAGCTAACAGTTTTTAAAGGTCACATGAGACAAATGTAGAAACCGTGACCACAGCTGACATTACTTTCACATTTACTGCTTCATATACTCAATCCCGAGGGTGTATAAACAGCTGCCTCAGTAAAAACGTCAAGCTGCATTTTTTTTATTTTTTTTAATTGCTTCAGATTGCAGCAGCAAAATCTTCTTTTTATTATTTTGGAAAAACAACATGAGACTTGCTGAAGGGCTTTCCAGTCATCATTACTTGGAATTGTGACAGGAAGGGTGGATGCCAGCAAGCTGGTGCAACATGTATTCAATTATATATGTCCCAACATCTCTGGTCCACCTACACATAAAGTTACTGCAACATGACCCCATGTTTTTGTGATGTGCTCATAAGCTCGCTGCCAAAATAGGTTTGCCATTATGTATTGCAGTTTCAGTGAGCGGTGCAGTGGTATGTTAATGTTACTTTAATTAGTTAGGTCACTGTTAGTCAGAGTTAATAAGTGTTGGTTTGTAAAAAGATACAACATTGGTATCTTAGGGAGGGTGGATAAAATCCTCCGGTGTGGGAAAAGCAATTTCATGTCACAGCATCAATATATACAGATACTAACAGATTAGTCAGGCTGGCTCTGTGGTTCTTTGGGGTAAATGCTAACATCAGAATGATTCGTCAGTGTGGTAAGGTGTTTCCAGTGTTTGGCAGGTAATATTTGCTGGGTTCACCCGTCTTAGTTTGCACTCTAAACATAGAGAATGATGAAGGAATGATGGGACGACATCAGAGCTTTTTAAAGTGGTCAACAACCAACAATGTAAGAGGAGGTTCAGTGAATGGATGTGAAAAAATATTACATTAGACCCATAGTCTCAGGCTGAACCTCTGGACTATATAAAGGTACAAGATGAAAAGTCATCTGTTGCCATCTGTAAAGTCACACTTTAAAAAAAAATCATCATAAAGCAATTCTTCTTACTGATTCTCAATGGTACCTGCATTGGCGTCATCCAGATGTTGAAGAGAGATAAGATTCATATTGGGTCAGTCCACCTCAAATCATCAGGAACCTTCTGCTCGACCATCTCTGATTTGCTTAAAACTAACTCGTTTATCATAAAATATGGATAATTAAATGATATCTGTGGAAATATCTGGGAAAGGTTGGGTTTCTCTGTTTAAAATGTCTAAGGTCTTCAACTTATGATGTGAAGTGCTATGAGATGATGTAATTTGTGAATTGGCGCCATCTAAATACAACTGCACTGAAGTAAGTTGAAGTTACCATGGTGATTCCTCCTGAAGAGTTGTCACCCCATCGTGGTGGAGGTATTTGTGTATCCCTGCCATCCTGGGAGTTATGTTGACGTGAGCCCCTTTAATGGTTTCCCAAGGCAAGTTATACATAGTGCTGGGACATTGCCCAAATTAGGGATGGGCATCTTGGTGTGCTGACCTCTGGTGGCGTTTGTACAGATGTGGAACGTCACATCACTGCCGGGGAAGGATCCTGAGCTGGTACAGGACATGGAGCGGTACCCACTAGATATAGCTGGGCTCACTTTCAAGCACAGCTCAGGAACCAGACTCCTGAAGAGTGGTTGGACGCTCTCCATTTCCAGAGCGGTCCAGGTGATCCCCAGCTGCTGCTGAGCTGGATCCAATGGCGAGGAAGACTGCCAAACAGGCCCAGTAAACCCAAACATGCAGTGAGGGTGAACATCTGGCGGAGGCCCCTGTCTGTGGGCTTTTTAGCTCTTACCTCCTCTTACCAACTTAACCTCTTGAAGAGTTTCTCCTGCATCCCAGGGAAGGTTTGAGGCATGGAATCTGAGTGCCTCCATTGCAAAAGTGGCTGTTGGGAGCTGTGGTCAGAGGGCCACTGGTGCCTGTCTTGACAGCAACCTGAAAACCCCCTGGTGGATGTCAGTGGTGAAGGAGGCCATCAGGCTGAGTCAACCAGGTGTTATATGGGCCTCAGGGCGGGGTTTCCTGAAGTAGCAAAGGGGACCAAAAGTTTGACACCTCAGGAAGGGAATACAAGGCTTGGCTCAGGTTGGGTGCAGCAAGGGTGGAGACCTGCTGACCCAGACTGGGGATATTTTTGGGCGGTAGTAAAAGCATATTGAGTAACTCTTTTACCCAGTTCCCAAGGTAGTCAAGAAACACCTTGGTGGCAAGAAGCGTACGAAGTGGGGACCAAAAATGAAAAATATTATTTAAAAAAAGTCATTTTGGGTCAACCACTTTGAAACTCTAGAACTCTTTTCTACTTGGATTAGGCTGTTTAAAAATGCTTTTGTCTGTGTGGTACAACTTGTCACCTGCTTAACCAGCTATGAAAGTTCAGGAAAATAACTTATTTTTTTAGTATTTCATATTAAAAATGTTTCTATATATTTTGTTTTGTTTTATTGTGGCATGTGGGAAAAGTGCATATGGTTAAAAAGGAATATGACGAGTTGACGGTTTTTTTAATTTGTGATAAAAATGGGACTTTTTTATAACAAAACTTTTATTTTCATATTTTAACTTACCCATAATCACAGATTTTTATTGATGCATTTGTCCAATGTTTCAGATTCTGAATCAATGACAGGATGAGAAATAAGTGAAAATCTAAGGCTTTTGTCTTTAATGATTCTTGAGATGTTGTGCTTCAAATCTGCCAAAATTGAGTCATTAAGAAAACAAAAAAAGAACTCAGAAAGTAGTTGATATATCAAGCTAAAACTTCACAGATGATTTGAGATGGAATGACCCTATTGTCTCGTGGTACATATTATAATTCTGTGATTTAATATCTCTGTCAATGATTATTCAGTTTGTAATGCAGGTGACTTGCTGGTGACTGTACTATATTTGTGTTTCCCTCATTGCAGGTGCTCTCTCACACACAATTTTGATCGGGACAGGAAATGGAGCTTCTGTGCACCAGAGAAAACCCTGCCAGAGGGTTAGTTTATGAAACAGGCTGCCCCCGTGCATTCCAGCGTTGTATATTGAGAATCTAGAAAAGTTGCTTTTGCTTTCCATCTAATTGTGTTTTGGGCTTTTTTTTAAAAATGTTTTTCAGTGTTTGTCCACACGTCACGCAGAATCACAGATTTGTGTCAGATGAAACCATGTCAGAATGGAGGTGTGTGCAGCCCGATCCCACACACGCGTTCGTTCGAGTGCTCTTGTCCTGAGAGCTTTACTGGGAGATTGTGCGAGCAAAGTAGGTACCACTGGTTATTGTTGTCATTAAAGTATGCAGTCGTGAACAAAAGTTTACATGCACTTGTAAACTTAAGTTTTTAATAACTCCTGTCACTCTGAATTTTGAAACCCATGCATCTCCGTAACAACAAAACAATCACGCATTTTGGTTCTTTCACAGATTTATTATAAAGACAAACTTTATTGATCCCACAGTGGGGAAAGTTCACCGTCACAACAGCTCCAAAAAGAAAGAAAAAGTGTAAAGTGAAGGTCTTCTGGAAAAGTGACGAAATCTGCGGGGTCAAAAACATCGAGGCAGCAACTTGAATGATACGTTTTGGTGTTGTAGAAGGCTGTGTTAATCACATTTTCTTAGTGGCATGGCAGCTTCTCGTGAGTGATTGTAACTGACTACAGCTGGAGACTTGACTTTGACTTCTAAGCCACAGCTACACAAAAATGTAGCTATTTGGCCACAATGACCAGAAATATGTTTGGAAGAGACAACGTGAGGTCCTTAACCCAAGAGCATCATACCTACTGTCAAGATAGGTAAGGTGCTATGTGGTAGTAGTAGTATGCTCTGGTGTTACTTTGGTAGCAGTGAAACTAGTGCTTTCACACTTAAATTGAAAAATAAGAGGGAGTATTACCTCCACGTGCTTCAGGAAAACATACAGTTCTAAGCCAGATGGTTGGGTCTTGGACGCAGTTGAGTGTTCCAACAAGAAGATCCTCCTGAACACACATCAAAAGTGGTAAGACATGGCTAAATCAAGCTCGGATTATGGTTTTAGACTGGTCTCCCCAAAGTCCTGACTATATCCCCATCAAGAACCTGTGGGCTGTGATGATGACACAAGTCAACAAATTTAGTTGGAAGTGTAGCAATTCTATCAAGATGAGTGGTCAAAGATACAACCAGAAGCTTATGGACGGCTACCAAAAGTCTTTTGGTAAAGATTTCACAGGGACGTTACACCAAATGTTGGCATTGTTGTCTGGATATTTTGGATCCAGCAGATTTCGTCGTATTTCCAGAAGACCTATATGACATCTGTGAAAGAACCAAAATGCATGAATGTTTTTGTTCACACCTGTATGTGCTTAACAGAAATTTAGTTAACAATTACCTCAACCAGAATATTCAAAGTTGAACACATAAAGTTGGTTTAGTTGTTTTAGCCTCTACTTCCTGAATGGAGGGTTTTGATATGAGCGCTCATGTTAAGCTTCTTACTGTCAATCACCTGACAACGGTCAACGTAACAAACTATCATCACATTCATGTTGGAGAAAGGAAACATTAGCAGGATTTAAAAGTTAAGCTACTCTATTATTACTCTAATCTTTATCAGCAGATAGATTTCAGCTGAATGACAACATGTGGCCCTTATCATTATGGCAACTGAACCAACAAACTACAACACAGCGAACTCAGTTTCCTAATATTGACAGTAAAATGTGGTTGAAAGCTTGATAAAATGCTCATTTGTAGACCTTGAGTGCAACCAGAAAAATATAATAACTGCTTGTGTGTGACCATAAAAAATCATTTGACATGACATGTTCTGCAAAAATAATCAAGTAAAAATGAATAGAATGTCTTTATCTTTTTATTTTAAACCTGTTTTTGCTAAATTAGGAAAGTATTCCATATCTGCATTATGCGATGTACAGCTATCAGCCAGCATCATCAGTAGTTATGCCCCCAATGCTTCAGATCAGAGAAAAATGCTTGTTTTTAGACCCTTGACAATTTATTCTATATACTTGCAGATTACTTTAATCATTCAGATTTGGCTGGTGGTTAATATCAGTCTTCTGTGGTGTGAAAAACTCATTTATACATGAATGTTATGGAGGATTTGCATCAGTTTTGGAGAAGTCAAAGTAATACAAAAACAGTTATGAGTCATATGTAAATAGGTTTCATAGAAGTCATTTAACACATGAACAAAACAAACAGAAAATAAATGTGTCCACTTTGAATCCATCGTGTGCAGCTCAGCTGTTTAAGATTCGCTTTCTCTGCTACATTGAACTCTTTAATCTCGACTCACATTTCAACCCGCTGCCTTTTATGTGTTCTGTCGGCTTTTCAGAGAAGTGCTATGAAACCACACACCTGCGCTATTATGACATTGGAGAGTCTTGGGGACGGATTCATCTCCGCAACGTGGAACAATGCACATGTGTGGCAGGGGAAATCAAGTGTGAAAGAGACCGCTACACCAGTAAGACATGTTTTCAGCTTTTATTGTTGAGGTCCAACAGTGTCTTGTTTTTGCTCTATGGTCTGCTTGTGCTGGAATGATGAGACTAAAGAATAGTACAGAGCATTACAGTGAACTCTGCTCACTTTGAAAACTGCTGAACTGATTATCACTTTATCAGACTAAGAGTAAGATACATTTCCAGCAGCCATAAAACATCTCCAGATTTTTGGCAGAGAATGAAACTAGAAATGAAAAAGTGCAACCTGAGCAAACATGTATATTGTTTTATTGTTTTTATAACTTAACTTAATGCCGCCAAAAAAAAGTATTTGATTTTTCCCTCTCCAAAATTACCTCCTTGCAGAAGATATGAAAGACAGGCCCTACCCTTTCTTTGATCTCAGCTCCATAGCTACAAGGGTAACCTCTCCATGGAAGAAAAGCCAGATTATATGAGTCACTGTGACTCAGAAATGCTGTTTTAGGACACACCCCATGGGTCCATAAGGTGCTTTCATCTCAATAGGGGGATGTTCATAGGCATTTATTAGATTCCCTGGAATAAAGGTGAAAGAGGTAGTGAGGCGGTTTCATACTCCCTGAACTGAAACTTGCTTTTGTCATGATGGCAGGAGCTCATCTTACAGTGATCGTGGGAAAAAAAATGCTTGCTTTTAGCTAAACGGACATCCATGGTTTTGCAGATATGGGTTTCGCCCAAAATGAAACTGTATTTCTTTTAGTTGGTATGAGATCAACTTCTTCTCTTGTCTCATCTGAAGTAAAAATTTCTTACAGAGACGGGTTCTCCTGCCAAAACACTTCAGGCACAGAGGGCTGTGCTCCTTACATGAACCCAATGTTGTGTCACAGTTCTGTGGCGTCTAGCATATTTTTCAGATGTTGCAATATTACCTTGGGGAATATTCAGGCTAGATATATGACATGTACATCAGATCACAGAACCTGTGTGCACTGTGCTTTTTATGCAAGAAATGAAGAGGGATCTATGTTTTCCAACTTTGTCTGCTATATGGTGCTAGACATGTGGCAGAGCATTTGCTAATAAAACAAGCTGCTGATGATAAAAAGCCCTGCAGAGCTGGGCAGAAATAAAGAATTGGGTGAATGTGTGTTATTATGATTAACTTTCACATTACACACACTTTCCAATTCATTAATAATGCAAAAATACTGACAAGTACAGCTAGAAAATGCCTGGGCACACTCAGAAACAAAACAGTAATGTAGCGATAGCAAATTAGAAATATTGATTTACAAACTGACAAGCCGAAACATTTTTTTTGGCTAAAGTTGAACTCAAACAGGCATCACAGAAGTATTAAAAAATGTAACACACTGAGTCCCAAGCAGTCTCTGTGTGATTCTTTGCTCCTGTCACATTTTTACTTTCTTTGGGTTCATTTTTCGCTGCAATATGAAGTCCTGCACCTCTATGGAAACAGTTCAACTATGGCTAGAAATAGGCAGGCAGCATAAAAACAGTTTGAATTCCATTGGTCCTAAAAAAAAAAAAAAAAAAAGCAAAAATTAAAGGCAAGTTTGTTCAACTATTTACATGGACAAAAGGAATTACCATGTACAACAATTTTTCAAGTGCCCTCATGTGTTACAAGCACTGAAGTTGATATTTTGTTACTTAGATTTTTCACCTGTAGCCGTAATCGTTTCCTATCTGCGAGATTTTAGTTTTTTACAGAATCTAGTTAAAGGGGTGAGGACGCGGCTCCGGCGCCGCTGCGCTGAGACCCATTCATGTCTATTGCTTGCGCCGCGCAAAGCGCAAGCGCAGCGCAGGTCGCAGAGACCGCGCGCTCACTGCGGTCAAAGTTCAACTTTGACCCCTGCGCTATGACGTATAACCCGCACGGCCAATAGAAACGAGGCCTCTCGCCTGCACGGCGGACAACGTGGAGAAAAAGCCGGTGCGCTGTGTTTGTATTCACCGAATTACACGATAGAACTTTGCGGTTGTATTGAGACTCGGGGAGAAAAGTTTTCGCAATAGCAAGTGTATGGCGTTAAGTCTTTACTTTGCTATGTGAAGTGCTATGAGATACATATTGGCGTTATTTACAAAAATTGTAATTGAATTGAACAGTTCTAACGCTTACTGCCTAGCTAGCATAGTGCTAATGCTAGCTTCTTAGCTCGGGGCAAGTACATCTTTGCTGTTGAAGTGTTTGCATCAAACTAAAAGCTTTTTGCTTGAGAGGATGGCGCTGGGAGTTTTGAAATCTCCGCCGAGTTTGCTCGAAAGCCGCTTTAGTACTAATGTTTGGCGTTTTTTCTTTTTTCTTTTTTGTAAATGTGACATCCCTGTCTCACATGGCTGGTTAAAGCCCTGATGGCATGTTGAACATCTATGATTCTCTGATAAATGGTGCTTGATTTTTGGCAAATTTTTAAATGAGACATGTAGAATCTGGAGGTTTTGGTGAAATATCACATTTTAGGCTTAGATTTAGTGACGATTCTACCTGTTTTTACAGTTACTGCCTGATAAATAGTAAATACAACACACATTTCACATCAGACAGTGGGTTTAAAGATAAGTTTTATTTTAAAACTAATGTATGTCATTAAAGCATACGAAAAGAACTAGTGATGTGCAAAAAAAACCTACAAATCGTACAGTTTATAATGAATGATGTTAAGATGTGACATTGTGTGTCTTGATGTGTCCAGTGTGCCCTACAAACCCTTGTCAGAATGAAGGAGCATGTCGACTGATCACAGCTACTGGCAAGGAAGTGTGTAACTGCAGAAGTGGCTACAGTGGACCTTACTGTAGCTTTGGTAAGCAATGATTATCATTCATTTAGACAGCATCATCATGATCAAATAATGCTTGTTTTAGGCTGAAAATATTGGAAAATCAGATTTTCTGATGGCTGCTGTCTGCATACATTCAGAGTAGTTCTTACATGCATTCATCCGACAGGTGAATGACATTGTTCAAGTGTTCCTTCTTGTGTATTTTTCATGCTTTCATGTCTATACAGTGCGAGCGTGTTCATGCTTGCGTGTGATAAAAGTTAAGCTAATGGTAGCATGTGAAAACATGAGCAAGCTGCTGAGCTTCTTCTCAGCTGCTGTCAATAATGCATACAGAGAGGCTTAAGACTTGCTCTGACTGATTTGCAATGTGAAGAAAAGAGATTTGTCATCACACAGATATTGATCTACATCCAGGAAATGGTCTGATTGCATTCATACTGTTTACATACCTATGTTTTGATGTGGAAACACGACACAGTTGAGATTGTTTTGTATGTTTCTGCCTGTGGTTTGTGGGTATGCATATATGCACAGAGCCAGAGACAGAGTGCTATAACAGCAGGGGCACAGATTACAGAGGGGTGGTGGGCACCACAATGTCCGGCGCCCAGTGTCTGCCGTGGAACTCAGACCTACTGTTTGACGAGCTCCATGTGGGCACGGTGGTTGCATCATCCTTCAAGGGCCTTGGGGAGCATGCCTACTGCAGGTGTGTGTGTGTGTGCTAAAACATCTTGCTCAAGAACTGCTATTATTTGACTACCCAGCAGTATGACATATCCGCAGGAAATGGTGTCCCAAAATATACCAAATACCAAGGAAACAAGCAAACACTGGGATTTAGGCCCACATACGGGCAGGCTCAGATTATCTGATGGGCTCAGACTCAGATGCATCATGTACATTTATTGTTAGTTTATTGCCGGAAAAGAAATATATTAAAAATGTAGTCATCTGTATGTGAGTGCCCAGAATTGAAAAACAACTTTGAGTTATTCAAGTTGAAATATCGCATTTAGCTACTGTATTGTATGAAGTGATGTGTAGTGATAAAGACTGATGCTACACTATGTCCACTTTGTTTCTGTGTGTGCAGAAACCCAGATGGGGACAAAAAGCCGTGGTGCTACACACTAAATGACGGCGCCATCTCCTGGGAGTACTGTGACATCCCCTCATGTATAATGCCCGTGTGTGAGTAAACAGAGGATTTCGTGGTCTTTTAGTTGTTGTTGTGAGATGCAGTTATTTTTGGGCTATTATCGGTTAAACATTTTGTCAAATTACAAATGATGCACTGTTAAATGACTTGCATGTATCAGCCTGATGTTACTTTCATCAGTTGCTTCTACTGCGGTTTTCTTGCAGAATTTCTGGTGCATTCCAATAAGATTTTAGACAACCCCGAAGAAAAATGATCAGGGCCGAAATGATTAAAAAAAATACAGCAATTTCTTTTTTTTAACCAGTTTAGTTGATTGAGGTTTCATTTTGTCAAGCACAATGCACGTTTTTGTTATTAAATAGTCAGAAATAACAGGAAAATGCACATTTTGTAAAATAAAGTAGCACAGACTCATTGCTTTTACTGCACCTGGACCGATCATACTGTCATGTGTAGTCACCTTAGAGCCTGTCCTTACAACAAGCCACTCTGAACTTTCATTTTTACAAGGTATGAAAACCATCGGCCATTCAAGGTCACACTGAGCATTAATGTCTAAACCGTCAGCCTCTGCGTTTACTTTATAGTCCGATGTTTGTGATAAAAACAAAACTGTCGAGAATGTAGCTACTCTCAGCTGAGTCACGCTGCTCTCAAAAGGTAAACTCGGCTAGGTTGATGGGTTGAGTGAAAGAGCTTTTTTTAGTTAGATGCTGCAGGAGAGTAAGGCATGACTCACCCCGAATCGGCATCTCATCTCACGTGGAGCCAATGTTTATGTAGTGAGTGGGATTTGTCACAGAACTGGCAGGCTGTGCTGTCCTCAACATATGATTTGCAGCAAGAGGATGCTCAGTTACCCTGACATTATCACCCTCCACAACTGCTTTTTTGCTTCTTGCAGGGGGAAATGAGCCAGGGGCAAAATCAAAGATATTCAGAAGAGGTATTTAGGAAGCTAGTAGAAAATTGTAGCTGTTGAACTGATTTGTAGTGGTTTAGTTTGTTGTAGTTTAGAAAGTCGTAATTTGAACTAGTAACAGTACTACTAGGTCGTAAATAATATCTATTTTTAACTTGTTTCAGCTTCCTCTCGAAGGATTTTCCCACGCTTGCCCACCATTAGAAAACCCAACTCCTCCAAACCAGCAAAAAATCCCGTGTGTGGAACAAAGCACAAGAAGAGGGTACAGGTAGCCAGGGGGAGAATAATGGGTGGACATGCTGCCCTGCCTGGTTCTCATCCATGGATGGCAGCCATTTACATTGGACAGTCAGACTTCTGTGCTGGCAGTCTGATCTCCTCCTGCTGGATCGTCTCTGCGGCTCACTGCTTCTTCCGCAAGTATGTAATGAATTGACTTTGGCTGCAATGGATGTTAAATGTACACTGGAACAAAGTATGTTTGTAGTCAAGGGTTCTTTATTAGCAAAACTTAAAAAGTTATCAGCAAGCACAAGTGACTTTAAAGACATTTTCTGTTTTTGTGAACCATTTTCAGTCAGTGTACAGAAAACTGAAAGCAATTTGACTCAGCTAAAAAAAATAATCCAGAATCAAAACCTTTTATAAAACATTTGTAGTTCAGAACGGAGCATAATATCTTCTGCTGCTGGGTACAACAGTTTTCTGACCATTGTAGCCGAAGAAGCGTTTACAACTTGAAAGGCAAGTTATTTAGAGGCTTTGACCCTTCAGTATCGCAGCTTTATGAACGCACTATATTCAGACATGAATCCGCTTCGAGGAAAACCTTAAAATGTCTCATGATGTTTACATGAAAACTCACGCTCTTCCCTCTGATGTCAGTGAACAGGCATCTGTTGCCACTGCTCAAGGTCAAATATCTTTAGCCAACGCATTAAATCATTAAACTGGACTTATTGTAAGTAGCAGCAAACCTGCTGTTTGAAGAAGATACGGTATGATATTTGCAAGGCTTTCCTTTAAGCATACATTTACTGTGTTTCACTACCAGGTAGGATTCGGTTAAGCTGTTTGACTTTCTGTTGGCAGGTTTGAAAGACATGCCAAAATTACACCATCGATCAGAGCTAAAAACTGAAAAAATTCAGGGACTCTTCAGCTAAATATGGAACCAAATTAAAAATTTAAATGGTAAAAAGATAAATATTATGTAGACCCACCATTTTTTTGCCCTTGACTGACATCGTGGACAAAATTTACATAGTTTCTCAGTTTTTGTAAAATAAAGAATCAAAGAAAATTGCTTCTTCTTTTCAGGATTTCTGGTATTAAAACTTTTATACTGTGACATTGTTGAGCTTCTATTCATGCTTGTGCTGTTTCCATAGTAGAGCAGGGCTTTATATTGAAATGAAAAATGATCTTGCGTTGAAGAAAAATGTCACAGTAGCAAGAAATGCCCAGAAATTGCTTGGGGTTCAGAGGGGTAAAGGAAGCAATGTTCATTAAACCCCCATACAAAAATGTTGAATCAAATACTAGACATGTTATTTTTAGAGCCAGCAGTCGTGCCAAAGGTGAAAGGTTTATCTTGAAAGTAGTGCTTGAGAAAAGGTCATGAGAACTACAAAAGGTAGATCTATTTCACAGGAATCTACTCATTAGAATAGATCAGTGCTTGTACAAAATGCTACACTGGGATGACTCAGTGGCAGGGTTTTATAGCACATACCAAATAGATGAAATTCTCCTCATCCAGTTCACTTCCTGACCAGCCACCAGGCCATTTGCCACGTATCATTCTCCTGTTTCTTTCGCCACTTTATCCATCTCTGCTGCGACTATTGAAAAAAGTCAAAATGTGACTAATTGTATTGTGGAAAGGAATGCGATGGAGTCTTGGATTCATCCTCTGTGGATAATGCACAAAAGATTTTGAGGAAATGCATCCAGTAGTTGTTGAGGCACCCTGGCTCTAGACTAAAATGTTAGATAGACTTTTATCATTCATCTCATTTTGAGTGTTCTAAACACATACATTGCCAGACCAGTGATGACATTTTTTTTTTTTTTAATGTCTCTTACAGCCCCCTGAGGTCTCAAATCCGTGTGGTGCTTGGTCAGCAGAATTTTAATGTCACTGGTCCCAACACCAGGACGTTTGGAGTGGAGGAGTACATCTTTCCAAAACAGTTCTCGGTGTTTAATCCAACCCTACATGACATTGGTAATCATTAAATGCACACACACACACACACCTACACACACACACACACACGCATTCCAGTGACTCACATAAACTTGCAGACCTCCTTTTTCGTTCAGAAACACACAAACTTCCTTAAGACTCCACTCTGTGTGCACAGCTGTGCGTCAGTGAGCAGCTGTGTCCCTGCACCCCTCTACATGAACACACACGCCGACACACACTGATACTTGGGTGTGGCGGTTTCATGAGGGAACAGAGTCTCCAAGTCTGCAACTTGCTTAATAACATTTCACTGTTTCTTTGCCCATTTCATAACGCCGCGTTGCCGTTTGCCAGTTCTCGTCAAACTGAAGAAGCAGGACGGGCGGTGCGTGAAGAGAACCCCATTCATCAGGCCCATCTGCCTGCCAGACAAAAGCACGACGTACCCTGATGGGTACTGCTGTACCATTAGCGGCTGGGGACATATGCATGAGTGTGAGTGATGAGGACATGGCAGCGCTTTATCATTTCAGTTTAATCACGATAACAGCTTTTTACACTTGCATGTTGAAAGTGATGATATTGGGCGCCACATAAACAGAGGCTATAGTCCCCGACGCAGTGGCCATGGGTTTGAATCCAGCCCACGGCCATTTGCTACAGTTCCTTCCCCCATTCTTCTCCCTACTTTCCTGTCTTTGTCTCTCCATTACCTAGCCAATATAGCCCAAAGCCAAAAAAATAATATTAAAAAAAGGTCATATTTAGTATGTAACTCAAATCAATGATTTCCTTGTTTATACCGCCACAGGAGAGGATGACATATTTGTCTGTAGTCTCACTTAGGAAAAGTTATATTTGCTTTCAATGCATGTAAAATGAATACTTTGACATTTTTGGAGTTTAACTTTCATGATGAGAGTTAGACGTAAAGATCAATGTCACTATCTGTCATAGCCAGCAGCTGATTGGCTTAGCTTAGCATAAAGACTAAAAAACGGCAGCGACACCCAGTCTGGCTCTCTTCTTTAAACTTCACTGAGGATACTGGTTTAGAAGTCCAGACCTCGAGTCAGGTAGGGTCACCTTATGACGTCGGTGTTGCTAAAATCTGGTCAGGTTGACGAGGTTCCACTTTTTTTTGGTAATATATAATGAGCTCATTGTGTTTTATTCGACAGCGGGACAGGGTTACTCGACCCTGCAGGAGGCTGGAGTGAGACTGATCCCTCACGACACTTGTAAGAAGCCAGAAGTCTACGGCAACCACGTCACTGCCGGCATGCTTTGCGCAGGGCTCAACGGCTGCGTTGACGCGTGCCAGGTAGGAAAATGGATTATTAAATTCAGCTAGAGTCCAAGAACACAGAGCAAATGGAGCATCTTAGTAATTTAAAGTTGACGAGAGGCTTGAGGTTGTTTGATGTTAGTGGGTCTACACTACAGACAGGGATCTTAAACTCTTCTCTACGGTCATATTGCTTTGATTTCAGGCTATGCTTCTGCTATCATTTACTAAACTACTTTATTCTGACATTGTTGGCATTCTGTTTAATTCAACGTATTTTGCTTTCAGTTAATATTTCTGTTTTTTATTGTTCTGTTATTTACTAGCATTTTGATCAAGTCGTAGGACAAACATGTCGAATATATCCCCTTTTACCTCTTACTGCTCAGTCTAAACAGGTTATACGTTAATAAGCCGACATTAGCTTTGTTAATTGGTTCCATTAGCTGGTGCAGCCTGCTCCTGTTTTTTCTAATAGAATTAGCTTTATTCATTAAGTATTCTGAGCAGAATAAACCACTGGAGCCGACATAGCTGTGTTGACCTCCTGCCTTGGCTCTCGAGGACTTGATATCAAAAAGTTGAGGTATCAGAATAATGGAGCATCACTCAGGAGGGCAGCAGGGATTCCCCCCCGAGAGAAGCGCTGCAGAAAGTCAGCGAGGCTCCAAATCTGTAAGATTGTGAGATGCTACCCACTCAGCCTGCTGTGTAAAATGTTTAAGCTCTTTCCTCTAAATTGAATGTCACAGCTGACTGTTTACCTCATGGGTAGAGCGCAATTTTCAGTTATATATTAGTTTTCAAGTGTGTGACTCAGCTGTTTGTGGGCCTCCACTTTGATCTGTGTGTGTGGATGTTTATGTGTGTGGACTTTATCTACTTATGTGTTTCCTCAGGGTGACTCTGGGGGCCCACTGGCTTGTCCAAGGGATGATGTCAGCTTCCTGTATGGGATCATCAGCTGGGGAGAGGGCTGCGGCCGCTCTCGAAAACCCGGAGTTTACACAAAAGTGGTAAATTATATAGACTGGATCAATTCAGTGATCAAACGCAAACCGAAAGCTTCATAAATGGACTTTACCTGAACATTAGCTTTGGGATGTGTGTTTTCTTGTTGTTATTGTAATGTTCTTAGAAGTTTATTGGCTATATTTTTTTATAACTGTGAAACATTTTGTGACTGAATAAACCTTCACTGACTTGATAAAACTGTTAGACCAATGAAAGAGCACTGCTTGTGACTGTTGTAGATCTTTGATTAAACAACCTCAGCTCCAGGTCCACTTTACTAGCTTTTTCAGGAGCCCTTAACTATGGTCTTAATCTGCAGATGGAGTTTGTTTTGTTATTGTAATGACATATGTTGAGATGCTCAGTAGCTGTTCTAATTTCATCCATAAATCTAATAATATTATAATAAAAAAAATAAGTAACAAAGTTTGTTTTGTTGTTGAAATGATTACACGGGCAAAAGAAAAGTCAATCCAGGGTTCATCGACTTTCTTTTTGTAGGAGTCAGATGGTGAAACTGTTAAAGAACTGTTATTGTTAATATGTCAATATAGTGTTTTTCACATGCCGGAAAACCATTTTTCATGTGTGTTTTGGGTCGTTGTCTTGCTGGAACACAAACTTCTGGTTGATAGTTTTAGATTTTCCCGAAAGAATGTGAAGGTAATTCTCATCCCTCGTTATTCCATTTACTTTGTGTAAATCATCTGCTTCACTGGCACCAAAACAGCCTCCGAGCATAATACTGCCACCGCCATGCTTGACGGTAGGTGTGATGTTCTCGGGGAGGCCGCACCTTCTCTCCTCCAAACACATTTCTAGTCATTGTGGCCACTGATACTTGTCTTCCAACAGCTTCTAATCGCAGACCTGTGTTCTGGTGATTCTTGGTTGACTCTTGACCATCCTGATCAGTTGTCTCTCAGCAGCTTGTGCTTTCTTCCTGATGGTGGCAGTGACACAACTGTACCATGCACTTTATACTTACAATTGTCTGCACAGTTGATTTTGGGATCTGCTTCGAAATGGCTCCAAGTGACTTTCCTGACTTGTTCAATTCAGATCTGTGCAGAGCTCCTTAGAATTTCCCATTGTAGTGTTTTTGGCTAAATCAAATGGGTCCTGTCATCAGCTGTAGTCAATTGCGATCACTTAAAAGAAGTTAACAAGCCGTGTAACGAGGAAACTTTGATTAACACAACTGCCTGCATTATCAAAACCGATCTTTCGAGTTGCTGTGTATATGCTTTTGAGTTTGCTTTTGAGCAACAGTGAGAAGAAAAAACTACCAAGAAGAAACCTCCAACAGACAGATAAAAACAAACGATACGAGAACAATAAACATTTGGGTGGTCGGTGAAGCGAGTACCTGCTGATCAGAGAGAATAAAAGACAAAGTACAGGATGGAGAAGACGTGAAGGTGGTGTCATGAAATTTTAAAGGGATTAGTTTCATGGGCAAAACTTCTAAATATGTAGCTTTGAAACACAGAGATGGGCAGCTGGGCAAAGTATATTTCTTGAGAGATGTTTAGAGATTACGCAAATTTAAAGCAGCACTTCCATCATTCATGTTTTGAACTTTTATTTAGATTTTTAATATAGGATAGTACACTTGTACAGAGGTGCAGCGTTAAAATAAATCTAAGAATATATTAAGTTATCTCCAATAATTCACCACTCCCAAGATTTTATATATTTATTTATAGTGTGCCTGATTGTGTTTGATCGGGATTTACTGAATAAATGTGTTAAAATGGACTTAGTGCTTGTGATTTCCTCCATTTTTAAAGTTTCCAAGCTTTTTGAATCCATGTGACAGTAGGAGGAGGATATTCCAACTACTTTTCTAAATGTATAATCTTATCTCTTTAAGTCTTTATTAGCTTCTTCCTGTAGTTTTCTTCTTGGCAGCAGGTGGTGCAGCCCAGCCCAGGTGGCAGCAGCATTGCTCGGCCGGTCCTGACACTTGACGGACGGACAGACAGACAAACAGTGGTCATGCCATTTTCCATGCGCCTTCCTCGCTGGGGGCGAGTTTGCGCCCCACAAGCACAAGAGCGCAGCTATTTTGAAAGTGACCCCTCATTCAGGCAGCGACTCTGCAGCTGTCAGGAACCATGACTGAAGATGACGGATTCTGTTGTTGTGGAGGGATATGCCAGGCTCAGAGATGGGAAAAAGGTAGTTTGACTTTTAATTCACTGACGGATATGGCACAAGTACTCCAACGCGCTTTGCTCTGTGGTTTAAAAAAAGTTGTTTTTCCCCCCCCTCCACAGTGGAAAACTAGGTGGCTCGTACTTCGCAAGCCGTCGCCTGTTGCAGGTAAAAAAAACACAATCGACGTTTAACTGGTCAGTTTTACGCATTTGTTCACCGAGAATGTACCCAAATCAATGCGCACTCCAGCTGCGCCACATTAGGAAGGTGAATGTATCAGGACTGCATGTGTTTATCGTGGAGCTTCGGCTTCACAGGGCCTGAGTGGTTTTGTGTTCAAAACTTTGGCCTGTGAGTCAGTGGAGTCCTGTTAGATGTAGAGCTGGTGAGATATTGCTCAGAAATAAGTGTAAAACCCGGAGCTGTTTGCGACCATTTAACCATCTGAACCAAAAACAGCGATTTTGGTGCGTTTGAGGCCCGGTTACATTTTTACTTGCTGTTTTCTTTCACTGCTTGTTTTGTGCGGTGTAGCACAGATATGTTATATATTTTAAATAATATAAAAATAAAATAATATATTAAAAAAAAACAGTCGAAGTTGTTTTGTTATTTATTTTACAAAAAATTAAAAATAAAAAAAACTTCAGAATCAAGATGTACAACAATTTTCCAAGTGCATCCAACTACTAACAAAATAACAAAAGAAGACTTACATTTTTAAATAGTTTGCATACTTGTCTCCTCTGTGCTATGTGTAAACACAACCTACAGTTCAGCTGAAAAATCCCAGAATTGTTTGTCACGTGACCATTGATGACAGCTGAGTCACTCATGTCAGCACCTAGACATGCATGTTTTATTTATTTTTTAAAATATTTTGAACAGAAGTGGGTTAATGCAATGGGTTCATTCTTGGGAACACTTCTAAATGAGACCTCTTGAATGAAATGATTGCGATACGTACACAAAGTTTACATTTACTTGGAATCGCATGTCTCACATGATTTGTTCAACGACCACCTGATTGTTGAAAATCTGACAATTCCTCCTGTTTTTTCAATGTTTGGCTCAGAGAAATGGTGTAATTCTATTTTCAAGACAACATGCTTTTCATTGGTTTGAGGTTTCAGGGGGTTAAATGTCAAACAGTTCTGCAGAAGAATGTCAAGTTTGCAGATTTGTAGAAGCAACAATTGAAAAACAACTTGCGAATGTCAAAATACAACGTGTGCAGATATATCAGCTGTAAGGCAGTGGTTCAGAAAATAGCTGACGTACAGACTAAAAGCAAACATTTAAAGTTGGTTGGTTTTGGTTTCAGCACAGTTTCGCTCCAAATGTTAGTTTCACCATTTTCCTGCTTTGAAACTTTCACAAAAGCAGGCTTCTCTTTGTGTGGCCTTCCTGTTTCTTTGACATTCCACTTTAATAGCTCCTTTTATTCCTACATTGTTGAATTTCTCGTGCAAAATTAACAAGGTGTACTAAAGCTGATACACTAGGAGAGGTTTTCAAATTATTTAATTAGGTTAATGTGCTAGAGAGTGATAGTCTGAGTCTCGCTGTATTTTTAGATGCAACATTCAAGTGAATAGGATTGGGCTTCAGCTGTATTGAAATCGAGGTTCGGATCGTCTAAACCCTTATCAGTTGGTTCTTTTTGTGTTTTACGAACAAGAGTGTGGATTTCAGGTTTCCAAAGGTTGCTATAGATATGTGGTGCTAAACAGCTTAACGCGCTCCACCACAGGTTGGACTGAGCTTGAGTGCTGCTGCTCCTCCTCAGATTTTTAATGTCACTGTTGTCACAGCTGTCTGTGCTCATGCCTCAGTTATGTGTGTTAAGACATGTGTTTGAGGGGGAGAGATGCACACACACAGAGTTGTTTTGTCAGTTGACACTGATTGTTTGAAAGGTGCCAAGAAACTGGTGGACGCTTCAGCAGCTACCGTGTGTCAAAATACATCTTATTAGTAGTTATCAGTGTAAAAATAGTCATGGATTCAACTGATACATCTAAAAAAAACATAATAATAATGATGATGAATGCTGTTTTAATACAGACTTCCAGTGTTTTTCTGTCTTTGACGTGCCTCGTGCTACTTGTCTGACTCCTCCAGATTGCCTCGTGCTGCTGGTGTTTAAAGACAAATTAGAAAAAGCCCAGGGTAACAAGGAGAGGGCGAGTGTCACCTTGGAGGAGATCTGCGGCCTGGAAGCTGGACAGTGGTATGAGGGCGTGGCTTTTACTCTGGCCATCCTCTGTCTGAATCAGGCTGCTCTGCTCGGCTTTGACAGCAAGGAGGCCCTGCAGGCGTGGGACGTCCGCCTACGGTACAGCCTCGGAGAAGGTGAGTAGATCCTCGGTTGCTTCGGTGTCTTTGTTTTGCGCTTCTGGTGTTTTTAACTTTCGGTGCTTTTTGATCAGCACTTTTCAGTCTTTTCAGATGACAGCAAATGTTACAGAATAAGCTACTTGTGTAGTATTATACCAAAGGATTAAGCAGAAGCACTCGAAGTTAAAAGTAAAATAAATGTTTTAACAAGACAGTATTGACTTATATGCTTTTCTCAGGGCTGATATTAATTATTGATAATCAAGAAGGAGTGATACACTGAGACGCTGTCCTCTGTTTACTGTGAGATTAGTAACAGTTTGTCTCCTGCAGTCCTGTTTGCTGCTTTCACTTTTGTTAATCTTTCCCATCTTTACCATCATGTTCATTGCCCTCTTACACCCAGACCTCGAAGCATTATTAGTTATCATTTTCTAGACACTGTTTCGAGGTAAACTGAAGCTGCCTCCTAACTTTCGACATCTCTCACTACTGTGAAAGTAGCTAATATTCAGATTTTTGCGCTGATGTCGGGCTTCTTGTTCAGTTTTTGCAGGATGTGTCTCTGCTGGAGAGAAATGAGATTGTTAATCTTCCTTTAAATAGATGTTACGGAACTCCAGATAGTGTTAGTACAGGCTAAGAGACACAGCAAACCTCTTTGCCGTAGCCTTAGCCTACCTCTGCCAGAGCTGCACTAAAATCAATAACTAAATGATTCTGTCATTTCTTGTGTAACAGGGAAACCAGGAATGCTGGTGGAAGGTTGTGGTGTTGATTACAACTTCAGCATTTTCTGATACCTCACTTTCCAAACACAGTCCTTCTAATTCAATGCTCTACTCTGCAAATGTGCTCGTCTGTCCCGCTGTGTAAACAATAGCTTAGAGTGATTGGCTGTTGCTTGTAACCAATCAGACAGTGAAGTGGGTGGGACATTGCTTGAGACCGCAAAGTGGCTACAACAAGAGAGCCGGCTGCATCAGAACCAAAGTAGCTTATTTAATTTATTTAGCAATAATCAGTCAATTTAAAAAAAGATAACGATACAGATAATCGGAAAATGCTAAATACTGGCCTCGATAATTGGTCAGGCTGTCAACGCTAACCATGAATAGCACCTTGAACCAGAAACATAATTGACTCCAATTTAAAGGTTATTTGATACACTAATTTGTTTTATTTTTAAAGCTGTTTTATTGAAAAGACACATATTTTGTGGACATGCAAGCTTCACATAAGCCAGGAACAGTCAAATCAGAACACAGAAAATGAGATTTGGCTGGAAAAAGAAATGCAACATCCAACCATGGAAATATTTTTGCTACAGCAAGGATGACGTTAACCGAAAACAGGTGCTCTGTCTCTATCAAGAACTACCACTTTACAAACCAACATGACTAAAGTGTTTGATCATTTAAATCAGCATCACCAAGCTCTGTGTGAGTGCAAGGTCACATCTGAATGCCATTCAAAGTACAAAAAGCTATTTTGGATGCCTTTGCCAGTGATTTGTTGGCTTTTTATAGCTTTTTAAATTCTTTTTTTTTTAAATTTTCGATGCAGATACACTCCTGTACAAAATCACCCTTCTAGAATGATGAAGTTTGGAGTCATTTGGCCAAAACTCATTTATTTTTTACCATCTAATGTACTGGGAAAAACAAATACGGCAATGTTGTTGTTGTTTTTTTACTATCATGCAGCCCTATAAAAACCTATAAAGATATCATCATCCACGTGCTTTCGATTCACCATCCTAGATAAAAACAACCCAGTTTGCATTGTGACAAGCGCTGATTATAATGCTTTAAAAGTTTGGCTTGAAGATTGTTTGCTATACAAATTTTATTTTGTCAGTTATGGTCATTTATTTAAACTTCACATTTCTTGGTCATTGAGACAAATTATATGACTGAGACTGATTATAGTATATTCAGCTTTTTGTTTTTAACTCCAAACAATGAATTACTCGCATGGTATAATGAAATGCATGACAAACCACACTGAGACTAGGTGACATGTATAAACTTTACTGTGTGAGCTATTATATAAGTTGTTTCAGTCATCAAATAGGAGCTATGAATAGCACTGGACTGTTCAGCAGGTGGCAGCTGAATTTTAAAGCAGTAATCAATGATAGTGTTAGAGGACTTGATTGTATCGACGTATTGCTGTGCAGTTATATTTTCCAATTTGGCATTTGTTTATGCTAATATATACATATGAGGTGTGTCAGAAAAGTTTCAGGACTGGTGTCACAAAAGATTTGGTTCAAATCCAAACTGCAAACTTAACGTTTTTCCCTTCGAAGTAATCTCCCTGGAGTCTAACACACTTTCCCAGCCTTCTCTGCCACGCCGCCATGCACTCCTGGAAGGATTCTACCGGGATCTTTCGTTGTCACAGCCATCTTCGTCGTCGACCTCTTCAAAACGGCTCCCCTTGATGACCCCCTTGAGCTTGGGGAAGAGGAACAGATCCCACAGAGCCAGGTGGGGTGAGTAGGGAGGTTGCTCCAGCACGGCCATGTTCTTCTCAGCCAGGAACTGTGGGATGCTCAGGGCATTGTGAGCAGGTTGTCATGGTGACGCAGCCACGACTTGTCCTGCCACAACTCTCGCCTCTTCTTGCGCACTGAACAAAGCAAACGCCACAGGATCTCTTTGTAGACGTGCTGGTTGATCGTCTGAAGGGGAAAACTCATAGTTTGTAGTTTGGATTTGTGACTCCAGTCCTGGAACTTTTCTAAAACACCTCGTGTGTGTGCTCGCTTGTATGCATGCACCTGTATCTGTTCAGGCTTTCTTGTATGTTGAGAGAGAGCTTGATTAAAGTGCTTGTGTGTGGCTAAAAGCCACAGTGTGGACTGTGTCCAAGCCAGTGGAAATGTCACCTGCCAGGCTCTGGGCTGAGAGCCACCATGCGCAGAGCTTTTGTTGTCTTGTGTGACGCTACATAAATCTTTCTTAACCTGAGTGATGATGTGACACAGCTGGCCATCATCGCCTCCATCAATCTCACCTGGTGAAGTCTGTTTATTGCAGTAAAAGTCTTGGCTTGGTGTTGCAGCAGGAAATCCTCAGATGCTCTGTGTGACAAATTTACAAGCAGAAACACGACCACGGCGATTACACTTGGTTCTGATTTTAATTTTTTTTTCTCTCTTAATTTTTTTTCTCACTAGCAAGAGCACACAGGCTTGCTTACACAGATGTTTGTGACACGGCTTGACTGATTGCATTCGGCTTTAGATCTGAGCAGCATGTTCTGTTCAGAGCCCAGTTTGCTCATTTATATGTGCAGCTGTTTTTTCCTTTTTTGTGTGTGAATGAAATCAATTCCATGTTGAAGCAGTCACTGTATGATGCTGTTTTCTACCCCTTGTAAAGTGTTGCTCCAACTATTTTCAGCTTGTGATACTGCTTTAACCATTGCTTTAAACAGTTCTTTCCTGCATATTTCATTACATCCTGTGCCCAAAACATGTTTGCATGCTTCTTTCTCAGACTTTATTGCTCTGGTAGGTTAGTATTGTTGAATCTCATCAAGAAAAACTCCAGCTACTAAAAAATGATTGTCGGGTTCTTTTATTTGTTCATAAAACCATGCATTGGTCGGTACCTGAGTGCATTTCAGAAACGATCAGCCTCTGCTTTACTGCTGAAAACCCTTTAGAAATGCTTTTTATTGGTCCATGATCCAGGCTTGTTTATAAGGTGGATTGTGTCATTGTGTTGGCAGCTCCAAAGCTTTGGAATACCCTCCCTCTTTCATTCAAGTCTTCCCTTTCTCGTCACGTGTTTAAAAGAAATCCCAAGACATGCATGTTGTCTTGATCTTTGGTAGATCTTACAAGTTTCTTTTCTGTTTCCATTTGTGCCTTGTATTTTGTCTTGTCTTACAGTGTGTACAATACTTAGTTGTTTTAAAATAAGTTAATTTGATTTGAATTGTTGAATTGTACATGTTTCATGATCTTTTTTTTTAGTTTCTCTGTTTGGTCAGTTCACAGATTCAGTGTTGGAGTCTTACCAGGGACCAAGTTGGACAGCGGACCTGCAACTCTTCATTTGTGCAACAACTTACTGGCTCTCGCTCGGGAAGTCCCTCCTGTCATTATTGGCCACTGGAACCTTCCAGATCTGCGCAGATATGGACCCGTACCAAATGGATTTGTGTTTGAGGGAGGAACAAGATGTGGTTACTGTAAGTTTACTGCTGCTTTTACAGTATATTGTCATTTTTATGCTACATTTGGATGTGCGTACTTCAAGATGTTAAGCCTGTAGGATAGTATTTTGTTGGCAGATGGTTCTTTTCAGGATTGAAATAATTGGTTATTAGGCTGCACACTTGCAAAATGGCAAAGGACATTTGGTCAGCTCTGTTCAAATCACATTAGTCAGTGCTTGACAACACGAGAGAAATAGAAAAATATACACACAGCCAAATGGAGTCTGTAAAATATGTAATAGCAGTGTTGAAATAACCCGAATGAGCTTAAAAATCAAGAGTGAAAATTATACTTTGAACTTGATTTTAAGAATATATCACCTTCATCATCTTATAACGGTTATATCTCTTGTGAAGAATGGTTCCATCCGCGGGGAAGAGACATTCAGTCATGATACACGCTGTGTTTTCTGTATGTGTTAAACAGAGATAATGCAGTAATTTGAGGTAATTCATTTTTAGTTGTCATTGAACTGTCTGTGGAAAAGATTCTCCTCCTCACTATCTCAAAAACATGCTTTAGGGCTATCTAGAAAAGCAAAACAAGTTTGAGTTTTTATTAATTTGGCTTAGGTTGTGCTAACTTACTTTTGCAAATGTAATTTGTGAAAAAGAAGACTGGACCTCAACCTTTAAAAATAATAATTTGGTGTAGCAGTCCAGAGAAATTGATCATTTTGGGCCTGTTACTAGGTTAGGGTTTTTTTTTTTTTTGCATGGATACTTTTCCCGCAGCAAAGTAATAACTCAAGTGTGGTTCATTTTTGATCAAGCTGTTGTTGTTTGTATTGTTCGGCTGACGAATAATTTATCAAATGTGGACAAGAGGGACTAACAAGGAATTCAAAACCGTTCAGCTCCTGCTGCAATCGAGATACCAATGGAGGTCCTGCAGTTAAAGTTTGACAGCTACATATGTAAAGCATATTAAATTTAGTTCCTTCTTATTCGGTCTATTTCGTGACACATTTTATTCGATGTTATTCCCGTGTGATGCTCCCGCTTTTTGCTGGCATTGCTCAGCATGGTAAACATCAGGGTCAGCATCAGGATTAGTGGGTTGAACTCAGTCACTGGATGTGTTTTTCTCTGTCTGCTTGTACATCTGGCATCCCTCAGGCAGACGCATTAAGACAGATGCTCAGTGGAGTTTTGTGACAGAAGAAAACAAGAGCCTTCAGATGTGTTTTATCATTGCCTGAAGGGCGAGCATCCATATGTGCAGTTGTCATAATAAAGACTGTATTACTTTCAGTAAGTCCTTGTTGCTCTGTTTTATTTCTGAGGGTGACTCAGAAAGTCACATTTATGACTTGTGTAATTGGCTTTGAGTTGGCCTCCAGTGTTGTTTTCCACAGCTCCGCTGGGTTCTCGATAAAGGCTGTTAGGGGCTTGTTGATATTGTGCAACTCCAAGCATTCCAGGATCCATGTCTACCATTAAGTCATTGGTTTTCTTGTAGTCAATCCAGGCCATGCACAGCTTGGTCTGTGTGGTATTGCAGTCTTGGGTGACTGCTGTGTCTACCAGTAGCTGGTGCTTGGCTCCTCCAGTGTTGCTACCAATTCCCTTCTGGGGGCTGTTCATGTATTGGGCCATGTGCTT